GGATTCCCTCTCATATATAAAGGGGATCCTTCTCGTTTTGTAAAGACATCTTATACTCAATATTAAATACACAAAAACATTCTCTCTACTCTCTAACATATTCTCTTGATCTCATTACTTCCATTTATTGCTTATATTCATTGTGTTCTATTTATTGTTATTCACTTATTGCTTATTATTGATCATAAAGAGCCATTCGCAACTCTCATAACTGTTAGTCCTCCCTCGATCGCTCTAAGCCGGTCACCCAACTCGACCTCGAGGCCCCGATCTCCAGCCGTTCGGTTCGATTATCATATCATCTCTAAGCTATAACCTTGCTTTCTAATCTTTTACTTAGCATCCATTGCCTAACAACTAGCATAAAAATAGATCATGTATTTTTAGAACCAAAAAATAAAATTTAATTGTAGTTACCATTTTTACGGTAAACAAATCTTAAGCCACTGTTTAAAATATATTTACTCTTTAACCTGTGCTTTGATAAACTTTTACCTGACCGGACAAAATACCCCTCTGCTAAACTTATAATAAGTCAAGGTGCTTCACTCCATAAACCTTACCTCGTTCGTCAACTGCGCAACTTCGTCAAAATCACAGAAGGTTTCCTCCTCCTTTATCCTCCTATTTCAAACTGGAGAGTTCAACTTTCTCCTCCTATTTCAAACCGGAAAGTTCAGCTTTCTCCTCCTATTTCACCATAAAATCATAGAAGATTATCCACAAAACAGTAAGTTCTAATCAATATTTTAGCTTTTAATCAATTATGTACATAAACTTTTAGATATCTCTATATGCTTTCCGGTAGTCCACTTATATATTCTCCGGCTGTCCACCTATTTTCAAGGAAGCATAGAGAATTATAGATATATCCACTTTTGTTTTCTAGTCTTTTAAGTTTTTGCTATAAATTGAATTCATTTAGATTGTTTTTATTTCAGCAAGTAAACTTTAGCCGATAGTTATCTAAAAAATGTCCTGAATTTTCAAAGTACACAATTAATATTCAGGACATAATCATTTGAAATGTCCTTATATGAGTATATTGCTTGATTTGGAGCTTTTGGTTTTGTCCCTTTCCTACATGTGATCGCACTATTTGTCTCAGTATTATGGTTAATGTAAAGCATTACAAAATCTACATGTACTCTCAAAGCAAATAAAAGCGAAACAAGTAAACTCTTGGACATAATTTTTGAAATGTCCTGAAAGTTTGAAGTATGAATCTAATATTAAGGACATAATTTTTTAAAATATCCTTAACTTTTTGAAATCTTATTTGTGTGTCTGTGATTTTCAGAAGTTCAGGATATTTTAGAAACATATATCCCGAATATCAGTTTCATCCTTCAACAAATCACGACATTTTGAAACATTATGTCCTGAAGTTCTACTATAATCTAATAGAAAAAAAAATAATACTAATATTATAAACAGTCATTCATACTCTCAGTATAGTACAGTGCTAAAGCATCACACACCTTGTATTGAAGCAAGTCCGAAGCTGCAGGATTTTCACATTCTAGTCCTTACATTAGTTTTCAGATGATAGCTATGAGGATGAACAGTTTCAACAATATGAAATTCATATTAGTATGTTTTGAACCAAGATCAAACTACACAATCTCTTAGTAAGAAAACCACCTACATGAACTGCCAATTTCTAGAAGCAAAATTAATTAGTATAGAAAAAAGTACAACTCTTTCAGCCATGATTATTATCTTTCTATGCTGCTCTATACAAATGCTTGCCAGCATTCTCAAATTAATAAGTTTGATCTCATGGACATGCTACTGTGATTTATCTATAATGTTACAACTCTTCTGAATTAGAAGCAATTGGAAAGGTGCAACTATCTCTTCCAAACCAACTTGGTTGTAAGCCTTTAGAAGTCTATTTCAGCTGCATCTATCAAAATTTGTTGCAGCAGATTGCTTCCACTAATCAATAATTTCTCCAACTTCCTTCATATGGCCAAGCATGAGATATGATGAGAGTATGCAAACATAATATTAGCTGCACCAATCATGAGACCAAAATAGTAGCAGAATATACACAAAGACATAACAATATATTAGTGTTGACAAAAAATGAACAACTTCTAAAAATAAATACTCCATTCTCATCAAAACTCCATCAGCATCATCTTAACATGCACCTAAACTGCACCAATAATGCAGTGTCACGATCCAAAACCAGCTATAGGTCGTGATAGAGTCCAACGTCACCGTTAGGCAAGCTAACGGTGAACTATCGCATTTGTTGTTCATTTTATTACTTTCAAAATCATAAATTTAATAAGGAAGTAAAGTTACACTTTTAAATCCACGGGAACATACAAAATTAGTAGTTTATGAAAGAAATGAAAGGCGATGATAATATACAGAACCGTAAGCATCAACTAGTATATCCCAAAATCCGGTGTTAAAAGTGCATGAGCATTACTAAGGAGTACAATATAATAAAATACTCATCTGAAATATAAATAAGACATGACAAGGTGAATAGTACGATGGGGACTCTATGGACTGCGATGCGTTGCCTGGAATGCAACTCACATATAGTCTCCTCAACAGCTGCTCCTACGTACCAGGATGATCACCAAATGAACCTGTCAGATCCTGCATATTTAGTGCAGAAGTGTTGCATGAGTAGGTAAATCAACAGGTACCTAGTAAGTATCTACCCTAACCCCGAAGAAGTAGTGACGAGGAGTCGACATCGACACTTTCTAGTAGTCCAATAAATCAATATGGTAAATCATAAACAGATAAGAAGCACAATAGTAGTAGTGAGACAAATCTGTAACTAACACAATCTTCCAAAATTTCTTTTAACGATATCAATATCTCAATCTCGTATTCTATCTCAATAATTTAGAAATATCAAGTGCCAATATCAAACGAATAAGGAAATATCATATAAAGTGCTGGGAATCAATGCAAGGATGATCCCGTGAACATTCTGACTGTTAACTATATAATGCACAATTATGCCGAGGTCGTACGACCCAATCCATATAACTGTACATTACCGAAGGTTGAGCAGCACGAACTATAGGTGCATCTATTATACTGCCGAGGCATTCGACCCGCTCCATAAGAAAAGAAGGAACTTATCACATTACGAGACATGTGCTTACAATACAGTACATGAGTATAAAGTGAATATAACCTTTATTGTTTCTCAAATAATTTGCCAACAACTCAAGGTGATAAGGCTTGACCTAGTATATATACATGTATTTCTAAATCAATTTCAATTTATCAATTCGATTGATTAAGCCAGCAGAATAAGTTTAAATAATTCAAATATTACATGATAAAGTCCTAAGTCTAACCGGACATAAACATGTTTTAACTACGTACGAAATCTCGTCACTTCATGCGTACGTAGCACCCACAACTGGTAGCACATAGCAATCATATCACCTAGGGGTAGTTTTCTCCCTCATAATGTTAGACATGAGACTTACTATAACGAAGTTAGGCCAATATTCCAAAATAGCCTTCTCATGTGAAATGACCTTCAGAAGGCTCAAATCTAGCAAAATTAATTACATAACATCATTAAAAGTTATCGGAAATAATTTTGAATAATAAAACATCAACTTGAATTTTACTTTAAAACGTCAAGCCGAAAGTCAACTCGGGGCCCGCATCTCAGAACCCGATGAAAATCCACAAAATCCGAACACTCATTCCGATACGAGTTCAACCATAACAATTTTATGAAATTCTGATAATGAATCAACCTCCAAATCTTCATTTTTCATTTTTAAAAGATTTTGTAAAACTCTCCTTTTCTTTCAATTGATTCACTAATAATAGATGAATATAACCATGGAATCCTGAAATGTAATCACTTTCGGATATAAAACACTTACCCAAGTCAAACTCATGAAAAAATCATCAAAATCACCCAAAAACTGAGCTCCAAAATCCAAAACGAAAATGGAAAAATGACCAAGTTTCGATCCTTAAGTCTTCTGCCCAGGTTCACATTTGCGGACAAAAACTTTGTATTTGCAAATGAACAATAAACTCCAAAATAATTGTTTGTAATTGCGAATGAACTGTGTAGGCAATTGTGATTGAATAGTGTTCGCAATTGCGAATGAACAATGCCTCACCAGATACCAGTAAACCAAACTTCTTCGAAATGATCCGAAACTACCTCGAAACTCATCTGGAACCTCTCGGACACAAACCATATATGAAGTTCAATCATAAATCATGCTACGGACCTGCTCGGGCACTCAAAACACTGAAAAGAGGTCGTCTTGACCCGATATTGACCATGGTCAAACTGCAAATTTGTTAACTTTACTAGTCTCTCAACAATGATCCAAAATGCACCCAAGCCCCTCGTGACCCCGTCAAATCATACCAACAGGTCCCAAAACATGATACAAACTTAGGCGAGGCCTCAAATCACATCATATAATGCCAAAACTACGAATTGCACGTTATCAAAATATGAGTTATGAAATTTCCAAATTTTATAATTTGTGCTGTAGCGTACCAAAACAATCCGGAATGACTTCAAATTTTGCACACAAGTCATAAATGACATAATAGACCTGTTCCAATTTTTGGAATCAAAATTCGAGCTCTATATCAACCACGTCAACTTCCAGTCAAATTCATGAATATTTCAAAACTTCAATTTTCAAACTTTTCGCCAAAATGCACCGAATTGTCCTACGGACTTCCAAATCCTGGACATACGCCTAAGTCCGAAATCAAAGCTATTGAAATCATCAAAACTCCATTGCGGAGTTGTTTTCTCAAAAGTCAAACCTTGGTAAACTCTCCCAACTTAAAGCTTCTGAATTGAGAATTTTCTTTCTGAAACAACTCCGAACTTCCCGAAATTCAATTCCGACCACACGTACAAGTCATAAAACATGAAATAAAGCTACTTGAGGCCTCAAATCACGAAACGGCGTGCTAGAGCTCAAATGACCGGTCGGGGCATTTCATGTAGTATACCAAAATACAAAAAAGCATAAACTATCATTAGTTAACATACTTTCTGCAATATTCAAGACAATGTCCTGAATATTTGAACTACGACACTGAACTTCAGGACTTATGGGTCTGAATTCAAGACAAATATAATTTCTGTAATATTCTAATTGTCATTTACATCCCATTACAATCTGGATAGTTAGTTGACTTTCAATACTACTACACTACAACTCATTCAGGCAAGAAGTCTTATTTTGACAATCATAATCGTCACCGACTTTCTCTGGTGTCATTTCATAACTAGAATTTCTTTTCCACTCTCCATGATCCCAAAGTTTTGCCGCAAGTTCTTTTTTGAAGTTTGATATGTCCTCAGGTTGGAATTTGTCCACATCCATTCCCATCATCAACAACTCAACAAACTTGATTAGGAATGCACTGCAATCAGTCCTAAAAAAATTTAATATAGGGAGTCAATTAAATAATATTTTAATAAATAAATCTAATGTGCATATAAATTATATAGCAAATGACAACACGTACGATCCAGTTTGTTTCAATGATCTTTGCCACTGAATATCAAATTTATTTAATGTATTTCCAAAAGACTTATGATGTTTCTCAAACTGTGACAAATTTAGCAGGTGGGGGATCATGCGCACATACATTTCAATGTGTTTGAATCCAGCCTCGTATGGTTCACTATATATCTCTCTATGTTGCTTCTATAATGACCCATTCGATTGTTTTGAGCATTTGTTTTCTGTTTAGCCGTTTGAAGTCTTGAGTAGCTTTATATGATGTATTATGACATGTGTGAATCGTTGGTTTTGGTTTTTAGGTGTTTCAGAATCTGGTTGGAAGAATGAATTTCATGTTTGAAGCTTTAAGTTGGAAGAATTAATCAAGTTTGACTTTTGAGTATTTGACCTTGGATTGGAGTTTTGATGGTTCAGTTAGGTCCGGATGATGGTTTTATACTTGGGCATATGCCCGAATTTGCACTTGGATATTTCTAGAAGGTTTCAGCGCTAATTGGCAAAAGTTGGCAATGTGAAGGTTTGGCATATTCATGAGTTTGACCGGGAGTTGACTTTGATGATATCGGGTTTGGACGGTGGTTCTAGGAATTGGAATAGCTTGTTATGTCATTTTGGACTTGTGTGCAAAATTTGAGTTTATTATGAGTTGATTTGATATGGTTCGATATTGTAACGACCGGCCGGTCGTTTTTAGAATTTACACCCCGATCCCCTACTAACTGCTTTCCCCGAGTTTGTTTCTGCCATTCTGTTTTGCCGGGATGTTTGTTTTTGAGTGTCGGAGTGTTTTAAGATACTTAGTCCCTAAATGAGAGCTTAAGCTTTAGAATTTGGACCGTAGTTGGAGCAATGTGAAGACGACCTCGGAATGGAATTCCGTTAGTTCCGTTAGCTCAGTTGGGTGATTTCGAGCTTATGGGCGTGTTCGGATTGTGTTTTGGAGGTCCGTAGCTTATTTAGGCTTGAAATGCCGAAAGTTGAATTTTTGAAACTTCCGGTTTGATAGTGAGATTTTGATATCGGGGTCGGAATGAAATTCCAGAAATTGGAGTAGCTCTGTAGTGTTGAATGTGACGTGCTTGCAAAATTTCAGGTCATTCGGATGAGGTTTGATAGACTTTCTGATCGAAAGCGTAATTTGAGAGTTTTTCAAGTTCTTAGGCTTGAATCCGATGTTATTTGGTTGATTCGATGTTGTTTGAGGTGTTTTGAAGATTCGTATAACTTTGAACAGTGGTATTAGACTTGTTTGTGCTTTTGGTTGAGGTCCCGAGGGCCTCAGGATGATTTCGGATGGTTGACGGAAAGATTTAGAATTTGGAGTTGCAGCTGAAGTTATGACTGCTATCCTAACCGCATCTACGGTTGAGAGGCCGCAGGTGCGACTCCCGCAAATGCAAAAGCAAGCCGCAGAAGCGTCCAGATAAGGAAAGGCCAGGAACCGCAAAAGCGGATGATGTACCGCACCTGCGTGACCTCAGATGCGGATTCTGGGTCGCAGGTGTGACGAAGGGGTTTTAAGTGGAAATTGCAGGAGCGGTCCCCTTGACCGCAGAAGTGGTACTGTCACACCTCCTTTTAATCTACACCCCCGTAAGAAGGTAGTATAAGGGAGTTTTTTCCAACTTAAAGTGACAATCGAAACGGGATTATTTATTTATTAAAATCAGAGTCGCCACTTGGGATAATTTTATGGTGTCCCAAGTCACCGGTTCAAATCCCGAGTCGAGGAAAAGATTGACTCTGTATTACAGTCCGCGAACACAGAAATCCGGGTAAGGAATTCTGTTAACCCGGGAGAAGATATTAGGCATTCCCGAGTTCCGTGGTTCTGGCACGGTCGCTCAACTATTATAATTGGCCTATTATCTGATTTTAGTACATGTTTTAGCCTATAGTGCAATTTTAAACTTCATAATCGCTTTATTTAATTATTTTATTTTAAGAGGATTTCAACGTTATTAAAAACATGTCTTGAACCACGTCACATAAATGCACCCGCAGTCCACGATACATTTTATCTAACATTGTTGAGATTTGGATTTGGGTCACATAAATGCACACCCGAGTTTAGGAAAGTAATTTTTAAATAGCGCGCCTACAACAACTATGCTCTTTCAACTTTGCGAGGGCCATGAAAATTCAACTAAATGGCACGCCTCGATTTTAAAAGAGTTAAAGATCAATTAAGTAAGGGTCATGCGTTTTGAGATTTTATTTGGCACGACACGCCTCAAATTATTTCAAAGGGCTTTATTATTCGAAGTTATTATAATCGGGTTACATGAAATGCACCCCCGAATTTTGGAATTAGGCATCGTAACTATGTCACGGGAACCGTACCCGTAGTCACAATGGTTTATTAATTGCGCCTAAAGAAACTAGCGCATTTGAATTATTTTCCTAATCTTTGAGATTATTGCGAGGCCATGAGATCAGATAAAATGGTTACTGTGGGTCAGTTCTAGATTTTTTAGACATAGTTATCACCATATGACAAGTTGACAACCAGAACAAATCTGTGTAACTTGCTCATAATGAACCGATTCAATTTCCTTCAAATCTTTTCAGGAACGAAAAAGAAAAATACGCACAACAACTTGGACAAAAATTTGCTCATGAACCAATAAGTTATTGCATCAATGGCAGATGACATTCACGGCCAACGCACAATGATAGCATCTTCGTCTAGTGCAATCATATTCTCTAATAAGTACACAAAACTAAGATGAAACAACAATAAAAATTTCAGTTACTATAATTACAGGTCATGCGAGTGAAAATTTTCCAGGACATAATGCGTATCATTTTATTCTTATCACTTATGTCTCAAACAAATTTATTTTATTTACACTTCAATAACTGAAAATTCACTGTTAATCTTGACAAAGGCAGACAAACTGTTGTGTTGGTTATATGAAGGTACAGAATTAAACTAAACCAACAGGAGATTATCACATGAACAGAATAGCGTAGAGCATAGATTTAATTTTAAAGTAAACACCTCAACTGTTAAATTAAATCGATACATAGTGAATTTTAAAGCTCAAACTAAGTTACTAACATCTGTGAATTATAACTTCATAGCAAAATCGAATTCAGCACTAATGAGACAACTTTAACACAAAATTTTAGCTAATCAAACATCATACAAGAGCTGGGGTGACTCAATAGCTCATTTTCGTTTAAGAACATTCAAGTACATCACAAGTTTTGTGTGTTTACCTTTCTGCCAGAATAAAACGAACAGAGAACGCCAAATAAAGGCTGAATGCGATGGCTGGCACTCAGCTACGAACTCAGCGAAGTAACAAACCGCAAACAAGCATTCATTACAGCTCCAAAATCAATCGAATTCCCAGAAATCGTAGCAGAAGAACCAAAAATTGGACCAAATTTAAAATCCTTCGTGGTTCCTTTTGTTTTTACCTTACTCTTTGTTTTTGTTTTCGAATCTCTTGCAATCTCTTGCAATTTCTGATTTCAATGTGGATAAGTGAGAGGAGGTGAAAGAAGAAGAAGGAGAGGGTGATGTTCGTTCTCTTAGGTTAGAGAGATAGAGGCGCCGTTTTTTTTATTCAAATCTGAAGGGGGGAATCCGATTTTTTTTTTTGTTGAGGGCCGAAGATGAAAGAGGTAATGTTGTATTCTGGGCTGGGCCGGGCCCGGGCCTAAATGGGCCAAATGGGCCGGGCTTAACGGGCTTGGGTTTGGCGGGCTTGGGCTTTGGCGGTCCCAGGCTTCGTGGGCTCAACGGGTGGAACCAGCCCGTGACGGGCCTAAGCCCATATGGTCCTGGGCTAAACGGGCCGGGCTCGTGGGCTTAGCGGGCCTAACAGGCTTTTTTATTTCCGGGCTTTTTTTTTAAATTTTTTTTGTTTAAGGTAATTTCTTGTAAACCATATCATGGCTATATAAAAAATATATATGTA